TGGCATTCCTCCGAGCTTGGGAGGAAGTCTGGAATAAAACCCAAAGACAAGAGCTATGCAAGTCCCCAGAGCCGCCTCCGTAGCTCCCCTGGCTGGGGTTTTCATCCTGCCTCCATGGGAGCGCTGGGTCATTTCTTGAAAATGAGGATGTTTTTACGAGTCTGTTGGGACATTTATGGGTCCAGACTGGTGGCTGACTTTGCTCTGCGCACGGGCTTCCCATCTGAGATGGTGGAAATGCCCCTTCTGATGGTCAATAATAAGTAGCTGAAGAGTGTGCAACGCCCAGAGAGGTCCTAGCTCAGTAGTTTTCTCCTCTGGTATGTCTTCTTCCGTGATCTTGTCCCTCTCAAACCTGGTCCCTTTCTTGTCTTGCAGGACGTGGGCTCTCTCATGCCCTGTCTCGCTCTTCTCCCCTCCTAAAACCTCCTTCTGAAGGATGGCAGCCGCCTCTTTCCGCTACGGCATGACCATCACTGGGGCCGTGCTGCTGGTGACGGGGACGCTGTGCTTCGCCTGGTGGAGCGATAGAGAGGTGGGCACCCCGGCCAGCAGTGGGGCTCACCTCCTGCCTCCCCGGGAAGCCGAGGCGGTGTCCAGCTCCTCCTCCAGTGCCCTGCTCCGCTCTGTCAGCTTCTTCTGCTGTGGCATCGGTGGCATCCTCCTCCTCTTTGGGCTCCTCTGGTCCGTGAAAGCCAACGCCAGGGTGGTCTCCCGCCGCTACCAGTACCATTTCCCCAGGGACCTGCAGTACTTCACCGCGGAGCCTATGGAGAAGTGGAACTGCAGGTGGGTGCCACATCCCCGTGTGGCACTTGGGTGGGAAGAAGTTGAGGGTGGGTTTGACTGTCCCGGCATGGCCGTGTACCTAAGCCTGCTCTCAGGCTTGCTTGTGGGCGAGCTCAGATGAGCAGTAACGCTGCCGTGCTGCTGGCTGCTGCTCAGACCCCGTTCTGTGCTCTCCTGCTCCCTGAGAAGCAGCTTTTCCTCATTAGTGTCAACCCGAGCCCGAGCCCCCGTACCCTCCCCTCCCTGCAGGCAGCCTCCATGCCCATGCTGGCTGCTCCCGTGGCCGGCTCAGCCGCAGATGGCTCTCCTTGCCCTGTGGGACCATCACCGGCTGAGGCAGACATCTCCTTAGCAGAGCCACCAAGCAGAAGACCGCATTGGTTTTCTGGCAGAGCGCCTGGATTTGGGTGTGGGGGGCTCATCCAGACCTCCAGCTGCTGGAACCTTCCTCGGTGCCACAGGTCTGCAGTGCTCTGTAAGGATGATGGGGATTGTGCCCTCTTTAATGGAAACAAAATCTGTGTTAAAAGGGAGTTAAAAGAAAAAAAGAAGGAAAATAATCCTCGGATTGGCATTGAGATGGGAGTGCAGGTGGAGGGTCCCTCTATGAAGCCTGTTTTGGGGTGTGGGAAGACCCCTTGCCCCCCAAACACCACTGCTGCTTGTTGGGTCCCCAGACTCTTCCTGTGTGAGCCTGAGATTCATTCCCACTTCTTGATTTAAAAGTTTTTTGATCAAAAGGGTTTTTTTCCAGAGACTGCTGTGGAAGCCGAGCCAGCCGGCCCTTCCCAGTGCTGTTTTATGGGGTCACAGCAAAGATCTTGGCTCCAGCATAAATCAGGCTCTGGGGAAAAGCAGCACTAAAAGAAACTTAAGAACATAAAACCATAAAAATTCAGTCGGGGCGGGAGGCACGTTCGTGGTTCTCTGGGCGTTTCAGTGCCCATGTGACTATCAGGGGGTGAGATCATAAGCTGGTCTGGGCAGTCTGGGGGGTTTTCCTCCTCCCATGGAGGGCTTTGCTGTGTTCCCCACGGGGAATGTCCCCTTCCCTGAGCTCCCTGAGCTCCCGTGCTGGACAGGAAGGCATTGCCCCAGCATCGCTGGCGCTGCAGCAGCTCCCGCAGCCCCAGCTGCGCTGGCATTCACGCAGCAAAGCCCTCCAAAGCAGAGAACGGCGCTCCGCAGAGGGTTGGCAGCGTGACATCCTGTGCTGGGAGAAACCGCCCTCTCCGCATTTCCAAGGCAGCGTCCCTTTGCAAGCTGAGGCTGTTTGGCGAAAGCCACGATGCGGATGCCTGGGGCAGCGAGTCCGGGACAGGGGGCTGCTGAGTTTGGGATGGAGGCATGCCTGCAGAGCCCTGCAGCTTTCCCTTTGGACAAGCTGTGCCCCTCTGGTGCCTGCAGCCTCCCCGAGCATGCCTCGCTGGGTTTTCAACTGCAAAAGCAAGCGGACTGTGGGTTTCTTTGAAAGCCTCCCCGTCTTTGGGACCACACCGTTTTGTAGGGTGTCGAGAGCGGCCGTACGCAGGGCAAAGGTTGGGTGGAGGTTTTCCCTGTACACAAGCTGTGTTTGCTCAGCAAAGCGCTGCTGGAAGTGGCACCAGGCTTGGCCGGTGCACGGAGGGCTCCGGCGGGCATGAGGGTGGGGTATGACCGCATTGAACCGGGATGCCTAGCTCTCACCCAGCTGCTCGTGCCAAACCACTCAGTCAGCTGCCGGCAGCCTCTGTGCTTTGGGGAGTGACTTTGGGGTTAGGCAGACGACGAGGATGCTCTCCTGCCTGTGGGAAGCAGCGCAGTGCAGAATGAAGGGGCAGATGTCTCGAGAGCCAGCACCTCTGCTGTTTTGTGGTCAGTCACACCTGCAGTTGTTGCTCTTAACACCGGAGGTGGCAGCTCTTCGAGGCTGCCTTGCCAGGCTGCCCTTCCTTTTCTTGGGTGAGGGGTTAATAAACTCGGTGGGAACTGGGTGACATTGCTTTGTTGCAAGGTCTGATGGATGATGCCCTTCCTCCGGCATGGCTCTCCACCCCCCTGGTGCCAAAAAGCCGCTGACACAGTCTTCTAATGACCTCAGGCATGCAAAACCTGCCCACGTGCCGTCCCCAGCATGTGCATGTCCACCATGCTCAGGCATGCTCCAGCCGATGGGGTGCTGGGATGCTCCAGTTGATGGGGCACCACCATGCTCTGGTTGATGTGGCACTGGGATGCTCTGGTTGAGAGGGCACAGTGATGCTCCAGTTGACAGGTGCTGGGGTGCTCCTGTTGTTGGGTGCTGGGATGCTCTGGTTGACAGGGTGCGCTGCTGGGTTTCTTCTTCCTTTGCAGTACCTGGGACACTAGCGCCATCCCGACCTACGAAGAAGCCCTGACCTGCAGACCTGCCCATGGCGCCCCAGCCTACGTCCAGCCCCCGAGGAGGAAGGAGGAGCTCACGCCGCCCCTGTACCGCTACCTGGAGGAGGACGAGAGCTGGCAGGGTGGCCGCCGGCGCAGCTCCTCCGACAGCGCCTTGTTCCGCCCCAGCCTGTCCTGGCTGGAGACCCGGCACCTTGGGGAGCCGCAGGCAACGCCTCCCCCCAGTTACGAAAACATCAGCATCCGGGGTGTCTGAGCTGGTGGCGGTGGGGGGCCGGGACTCTGCGGGTGGCTGCCCGGTCCCTCGGCTTTAAACCGAGTCCCTTCCTTTGCTGGGGTGAGAGGAGGGTGAGCAAGGAGGGGGAAGGCGGAGGGGTCCGTCTCTCTTTCCGAGCGATCAGTCCAGGGCTGTCAGGATTGTGGGTCCTGTGGGCAACGTGTTCGGAGCGGTGGGGGTAACTGGCATGTTTGAAAGCCTTTGTATTTTTAATAAAACCACTGCTGGTTGCAGATGCTTTGCATTCCCTGCTCTGACCTACCGTGGGGAGCTCATATCAGGCCAGGGGCTGCACGCTCAAAGCAAGAGCTATATAATAAAAACTGCAGCAAAGAACAAGGAATCCGGCCATAGAAAAACCAGCTCCGTGCTGCCCTGTTCGCTCCTCTACCTTTTCAATGCCCCTTCCAGCTGTATCTCCATCCCTTCCACCTTACTTTCCCCGCATACTGACTCCCATGCTTCACTTCATTTGGTTTAGAGATGTTCAGTGGCTTGTGCGTGCATTCAGGGCATCCAAGTGCACTTGGCATTTCAGGCAGTATCCTATAAAAAGACACCCTGAGTGGCTCACCCCCCTCCCTGCCCACCACGGACGGGTTTGCAGCCTTGCCCAGAGGAAATGCCAACTTCATCAGGGGCTGCTGCCAGTTGCTCCATCCCACTGAAATAACAGGCTGCTCTGGGCCCCCTGCAGACCTGCAGGGCTGCAGAGTGGCTGCTGAGCCACAGCCAAATATAACATATTATTTATAATAGAATATATTATTTTTCATAAGCTATACATGCTTTTCCACGTGGGCAGGCAAGCAAGGGAACAAACTGAAGGCTAATTAGAGCCACTGCTACTGTCTGGCTGTCGGATGTGCGGTGGGAAGGGGACACCTTTTAACGCCCCTGCTCCATCTCAAGCAAACACAGGGCACATGGACGTTATGTCCTCACTCCCCTGGGTGGACCGATCCTGCTCCATCCTTCCCCGGCTTTAGCCTACCCTTCGCAGCCTGGTTGCTGCCCCACTGAGGCAGCCCCACCGGTGCTTCCCCAGCACCCAGCCGGAGCAAGGTGGGGGCTATTCCCAACCCACCGGCCTCCAAAAAGACCCTGGAGCACTCCGTCTTCCCCTGCTGCAGCCCCACAGCCCTTGAAAACATGCTGCGCCTTGGCGTCCCCCTTATTTTGGGGCTCTGCCAGCTCCGATTTACAGCCAAGTCCAGCTCCAGCCCCCAGGGCTGGGAAAGTCCCGTCGGGACCAGCTGCTCTCCAGGTCCCCGTCTCTGCCACCG